AATCAGGAAAATCATTAATAGGTTACAGTCATAGTTTTAACTTTTTAAACCTTAGGGTTTGTTGAAAGATAAGGAAGCTAGCACTGTTACATTTCCTTCTAACTACCCTCTCCTTGCCTTCAAATTTCTGTTTATTGTATGGTTATCAAAAAAAAAAAAAAGAAAACCTGCTTGTACATATCCAGTCTTCAATCTGAACTTATTTTATAAACCATTGCAGAGATGTAGGAAGAAAGACGAAGTCAGCCCAGAGTATATCAGATCTTGACAGACTTGCACAAAGGAAAATAGAGGAAGCGAGGGAATAGAGACAACATATCGTCTTTTATGGAATGCCCTGTTTTTCTCTGTGAGATTTTATTAAATGCCCAGTACTAGAGTTTTTCTACCTAGATAAGGGTTTAACTCACCGTTTATGTGGGGATATCATTGGGTTTCAGATTAGTTCCCCAATTCAGTGTGCATTTGTTCCTGGAACCTTCAACTTGATCACAGAGATTCAACCCCTTGTTTCATTTGTTTCTCACAGCAGCTGCTTTCAAGATGAAAAGATAGTTTCTTTCAGTTTACATCTCTCTAGATTTGAAGGTATTAGTGAGAATTTTTATGATTCGGATAATTCACCATTATGACTTCTTTGGGAGCCAGAACAGCATTATGAGCCTCAACCCTGCTGCAGTATGCTTCTCAAAGACCATTTATTTCTGTCGTTGACCACCCAACTTTTGAGATTTATGACATAAAGCTGTATATTTTTCCCCGTTTGATCATTGCTGGTGGAAGTTTTTTCCTCTAGTTTTTACTCTTTTTTGTTGTTGTTGATTTCTGTTAGATATGGAGAGGCAGAAATTCTTTGTTACAGCTTGATCCTACTGTGATAACCTGTAAGCTCAAGGCAGTAAAGTTTTAAAGAAATACCTTTTATGTAAGGGAAAATAACCATTAAAATAGACAATGTCTTCAGTCTCAGTTTTGCAACAGATGCAGAGGAATTTTTCATAATGATGGTTTATGTAGAAATCCTCAATGACATACTACCTGGTAGCAGCCAGGTATATCTCAAAATGAAAGGTATCTTATAGGTGCAGAAACATATATGATGAGATAAATTGCTTTCAGGTGATCTAACGTGATAGAAAAGTAAGACTCACAATATCCTGAGTGGTACATGGTTAGAAAGCATGGCTTAGTCCAGTTTAACGTGCATATATAGCACCTTGAGAAGTCTTTCTAAAATTGCAGATCCTGAATCAGTAAGTCTTGGATGGGACCTGAGATTCTATATTTCTAACAAGCTCCCTGGTAAAACAAATGTTACTGGTCTTCAGATCATACTTTTAGTAGCAACGTTCTTGACTAGACACACAGCACCTATACTTGACTAAATCCTTGAGGCCAGGGCCTTATTTGTCTTTGGATCCCTGTTATCTAATGAAGTGCCTGAATAAAAGGCACTTTATTGTTAAATAAACGAACTGATGTGTTAAATAAGTATATGACCACTAGGTGTCTGGAATACTCGTATTTTATATTAACGGCTGAGAAAGAATCCTTATGTTTTGGAGACCAGCTGAGTGAATGATAAGATTGCTATTTTCTCTTAAAAGTGCAAAATCCTAACTAAGATTTTTGCTCAGTTGAAAAACTGTGGTACATCACACAGCTACTTTGGACCACAAAATATTACTTTTCAAATACTAGAACATATCCTTAACTGAGCTCAAGATATCAAATTTTATTTAAATGAAAGAAAATCTATAGAGTATGTGTTATCAGTTATCCATCCTGGGAATAGAAAAATTTAAGTAATATTCCTGTGGTGCAACTAACCTTAAGCTATAACATCGTTGTGGGCCCACCCAGTTGGGTTAGCTGTGAAGTTCACCTTCAGATAACTGAACTTATTGTCTCTTTAAGCTAGTAGTTCTCAACTGGTTGGCAGCATTTTAAAATTACCTGGGAAGCTTTTTAGAATCGCAATTTCCAAGCTGTACCCCAGAAATGAGACCCAAGCATCAGCATTTTTACAAGCTCCACAGATAATTCCAGTGTATAACCAAAGTTGAGAACCATTACTGGACTATGACCTCTTTAAAACCAGGGTCAGTCTTTCACTTATTTTTTAACTCTTAACACCTAAGACATGGTATAGGTCCTCAGTAAATGTTTATTTAGTCAATGGATGAAATATGTTATAAGAATTATTGCCTGTTGCCAAACAATAGCATTCTTCACTCTAAAGGGACTATTTTGACTATTTTTGTTGGCATCTTGAAATTTGAAAAGTTTGAATTGCCCTCTTGGTATTGACAATACTGAAAATTAGTATTTGATATAGTTTTTTTTTTTTTTTAGTGCTTGAGCGGTTTTGTTGATACAAGTTGGATTTCACATCACTTTTTATCAAGATCTGATACAAATGGAGGTGTGGTCAAAGACTAGAATGCTGTGGCACAAACACTTCAGTAATATGGAATATTACAAAGAAATCTAAAGTTTCTAAGGTCTATTAGTGGGAAGACAAGATCAGTTCATCTCATTGCTGAGTTATGGAGTCAACTATATATTTTGTTATAGACCAGAAATAATAACTACTTAGAATGATGAGTATTTTTGCTTTTCTAATTTCTAAATAAATAGAAGAGCAAAACAATGGAAATTTTAAGTTTGATTTGTGAAACCACCACATAATCACCTTTATTATAATAACCATTGATTTTGTTTGTTTGTTTTTGTTTTTTTAACATCTTTATTGGAGTATAATTGCTTTACATTGTTGTGTTTGTTGCTGCTGTATAACAAAGTGAATCAGCTATACGTATACATATATCCCCATATCCCCTCCCTCTTGTGTCTCCCTCCCACTCTCCCTATCCTACCCCTCTAGGTGGTCACAAAGCACGGAGCTGATCTCCCTGTGCTATGCGGCTGCTTCTCACTAGCTATCTGTTTTACATTTGGTAGTGTATATATGTCCATGCCACTCTCTCACTTCGTCCGAGCTTACCCTTCCCCCTCCCCATGTCCTCAAGTCCATTCTCTACGTCTGTGTCTTTATTCCTGTCCTGCCCCTAGGTTCTTCAGAATCATTTTTTTTTTAAGATTCCATATATATGTGTTAGCATATGGTGTACGTTTTTCTCTTTCTGACTTACTTCACTGTGTATGACAGACTGTAGGTCCATCCACCTCATTACAAGTAATTCAATTTCGTTCCTTTTTATGGCTGAGTAATATTCCATTGTATATATGTGCCACATCTTCTTTATCCATTCATCTGTCGATGGACACTTAGGTTGCTTCTGTGTCCTGGCTGTTGTAAATAGTGTTGCAGTGAACATTGTGGTACATGACTCTTTTTGAATTATGGTTTTCTCAGGGTATATGCCCAGGAGTGGGATTGCTGGGTCATATGGTAGTTCTGTTTTTAGTTTTTTAAGGAACCTCCATACTCTTCTCCACAGTGGCTGTATCAACTTACATTCGCATCAACAGTGCAAGAGGGTTCCCTTTTCTCCACACCCTCTCCAGCATTTATTTTTTGTAGATTAACCATTGATTTTTTGTGTGTGTGAGCTTTCCTCAGAACAAAATTGTAACTATATCAGTGGTGGGAGTTCTTCAGTTAGTCTCTAGTAGTCTATATTTTATGTCTTTTTAAAAATAGTTTGTTGCCATTAGTTAATCACAGCAGGGGAAAAAATCTCCTTCATTTGGAGTTTTGCGCTCTCCATTCCTGTGATACCAGGATGAAATAAAAATGAGTAAGGAAAGGGAAAAAAATCATTTAAAAATCCTGAATTGTCCTTCTGAATAATTATCATGCATTTTGTCTCACTGATGAATTAGAGAACTGAGGACATTGTATTTTACATATAGATATCAGCCTGCTACTGGTATTTCACATCTCATTGTCAGTACATAAATGATATAATTGTATTATTAAGTTTTGGACCTGAATTGTATAAAGGTAATGAAACAATAAAATACCAAAGCAAATATTTAATTATAATTTAAATGAGCACTTAATAGTTCTTTTTAATAAATAGCCAAAATGTAGGATGGATGAATAGAACTAGCAATAGAGTAAGCAGAGATCCTTGTCCCACTTCTTTACAAACTAGCTGGGTAACTTTGAGTAAATTATTTAACCACATTGTACTTCAGTTGTCTTATCTGTAAAATGAATAGACAAATCTACTAAGGTCTCTACCAACTCCAAAATTTTATGATATGTAATTCTAATCTCAACTAAGTGTCGTAATATTGGTGTGGAAAAAGAGAAACTTTAACCAATCATTTATTCCTACACCTTTCCTTTAAGGCAACTATGTAAAATAAAATCCTGAAAAACGTAAAACTTTCCTAAACCACTTGAAACTTAGGAAAAAAAAATATTGACTCAATCATAGACAAAATATAGAGGAACATCTGTTGAGGGTCCAACAGCTCTAAGTTTAAATTCTAGCTTTTTCCCCTTCTAGTTTGTGAGCCCATGAGCAAGTATATTTCTTGATCTCTCTGAGTCTATTAATGAAAAAAACCAATGAGTCTGTTTCCTTAAATATAAAACTGAAGTGTGAATATTTACCTGACAGGATTGCTATACTTATTAAATAATGAGATCATATAATTAGAAATAGTGCTCAATTTTTTTAACCTGAATATATTTTGAGTGGCTGACAAGATGTCAGACATGCCATTTAAATACATAATGAACATTAATTATAAACTATTTATGCTATTTCCTGTGTTACATTTACTTTCAAGAATATGATGGTTGCATCTTCATTTTCTATAATGAATAAAATACATACCCAAAACTGCAGTGTCTTTTGATTAACAGTGGAAACTGTTCCATGAATTGTGCTTCACATTTTTCTTAATGAGTGTTGAAAAGAATCTGTTTCTTCACTGTATACGAAGTATTTCAGTATGTGAATGTTTTGAGTAGGCAGGCAAGTCCTTCTGCATGTGAAAATATTATTGTTTTCTTTCAGGAAACCCTGATAGATTGGTGTGATGAAAAGGAACTTAATTTGATATTAACAACTGGAGGAACAGGGTTTGCGCCACGAGATGTCACTCCAGAGGTGAGATAGTATATGCTTTTCTGATATTCAATGAGTAGACTATTCATGTTATTTTTAATCCTTTTTATTCTTTTTATATGATTTATGTAATTTTGCTAGACAGAACAAGAGACCTGTGGTTCTAAGAATGTGAACATTTTGCTGTGGGAGAATCATTATATTAAAAAAAACTTTCTTGACTTCTTTTCTTTGGACTTAAACTAGAAATTATCTAAAATGAGGAAGATTGAGCTGGTCCAGAAGGTAATCCTGCATTTGCTCAGTGGTCTGTGGTATCGGCTGAATTTCAGGCATATTGCCAAAGTAGGTAATAGCAGAACTCTGACTCAGCATGGCATCTGGTCTGATGTGCTTTGTTAATATAATTCAAAATGTTTCTGATTTGTCTTGAGATACCCTTTTCATTGGTCTCAAGTAGGATGACTGCAATAGCATATTTATACCAATTTTATAGTATTTGATGAGAAAGTTATATATTCCATAATTTTAAATGTGAATTTAAATGCAGAATTTAATAAGCCAAAAGGCAGAATTAATCTCTAGGCTTCATGCCACAAGAATCACCTTCAACCTTGCACAGGAAAAAAAATTAGGGAAAGAATGAAGAATAGACAGTGCTCAGTGATACAGGGGGAAAGTCCTTCTTTCTTTTTAAAGAAGCCATAAGCTTCATGTGTCACTTCAGAGTCATATGCAGACTTATATTAATACTTGTGACATTGTTTCCTTTACCTCCCAGAAAAGTGTTTCTTGGCTGAATTTCAACCTACTGTTAACTGGTTTTTTATTTCCAAATCAGTGCACCATTGTGTCTCCTATCTTATTCATAGCAAGATACTTCTGCTCAGTACCTATTAAATAATTATTGTCCTTACTCTAATATAGCAGTTTTCAAACTTTAGCTTGTACCACAATTAGAGGTAAAACAGATTGCTGTGTCTCACCCACAGTGTTTCTGATTCAGTCAATCTGCAGTGGGTCCCAAGAATTTGTGTTTCTAGTAAGGCCCCAGGTAATACACATGTTGCTGGCCCATAGACCGTGCTTCCAAACTTTGGGAACCATTGGCTCTAGTATGTGAAAATGCACATTGTTTTAACAAGTTTTAAAATGTTTTCTATTCTTCTATGTAAAAATCATGGCACAGAAATTTTTGGAATATTATTATAATTAAGCTTATAAATAAAGTCATTTTGTTAAGCAATTAGAATAGAATTCTGGGAGATTGTTAGCTTCAACTACTTAAAAAAGAAGTAATTCTTATATAGCTTCTGGGTCCTAAGGGGAAATGGTCCTTTGGCCAATTTTTATATTTCTTTTAAACTGTGAGACTAACTTAAAAAGTACAATTGGAGGGGAGCCATCTCCTGTAAAGGTGTGTTTATGTTTTGTTTTGTTTGTAAGAAAATCTCCCACATATGTGAAGACATTGATTTTTGGAGTTTGAGTGTTGGGTTAAGTGTTTGAAGTAAATGACCCTGGTTTTATATATCCTTGTTGTTTGTGTACTGGTTTGATATTTTCATAATATTACTTTTATATCAGAAAAGTAAAAAAATGTTACCATAGAATTCATTCATAACCAGTTAACAAAATTATTTTTAATTGTGGGAAAATAATTTGCATCACAAAATTAAATATTTTGTATTCCGTGGAGTTTCAAGTTAATACCAAAACACTAGGTTGCAAATCCAAACTTTTAAATTCTGGCTCTGCTACTTGCAACACGGTGAGTGTAGACTAATTATTAAATCATTCTGTGCCTTAATTTCCTATAAAATGAGGGAAATGAAAGTGCTTATCTACCAGGGTGGCTGTGAGGTTTCAATGAGAACTATTCCTGGCATTTTAGTAAGCACTATGTAAGGGTTAACTTATAAGGGTTAATTTTTTTTATTAGTTATTACATAACTACCAAAGTGGAAAAATTTGTAGTATTTTTTATATATAACTATCAAATGGGCAAAAATAGTCGTATACTAGATTTAAAGTATATCCATGAAATCGTCACAATCTTGTTAAATTTTTTAAAATTTTAACATAGTAAGCTTCATATTTTATCTTTTCCATCTCCATATAATTCAGAGGTCTTGAAATTCTACCATTCTAGTATCTGTTTATCGCCCAACCTTTTTTTTGCTACTGTTAACAAGAGTCTATGTCTTTCCATGACTTTGTGTATTTCATTATATCAGAAAATTGAGAAGTCCTTTCTTTATTCTTCAATGCAGTTTTTCAGTTACCAGAAAACCTTAGAAGTGCTCTTATATTTGTATATGCCTATAGCAACTACCTGGCTAAAATTGTATTAGGGTAAATACATATAATTATGTCTTCTCTAATATCTATTTTTGAAAACAAGTAAGTTACCTGATTGTGAATATCTTGATCTTTAATAGATTTACTTTATTTCAAATTATATACACACACACACACACACACACACACACACACATAAGGTATGATTATCTACAGCAAAAGTCCATAGGGCTGTTAAGCCTTTGAAAAATAAACATAAAAGCAATGTAAGACCACCCAAAAATAATTCTCTTAATTTCTTCTTATCTTTAAATAGTTGCAATTTTTATAATATCTAAAACTTAACACTGGGATGTCAGCTAGGAATCCAGAAATATAATTTTGGACCTGTAATAATATAGTTAATTGTCTTAGATAATTGTGCCTAAAAAGAGAAACCTATTTGTAGAGCATATGTACCTATATACAACTTAAGGTTGCAAATATTTTTAAATAGAGTCAGAAGTTATTGACAGAAAACACAAATATTAGTGATAAAGGTAAAATAATATAAAACTTCTCCCTTAAGGTGCTAATATTTTATAGTCAGTAATTGTCAGTAATAAGTTTGATCTATAAACACAATAGACAATGTTTGTGAGTTGTGTGGGTTGTTTAAAAAAAGGAAGGGGGAGGGCTTCCCTGGTGGAGCAGTGGTTGAGAGTCCGCCTGCCGATGTAGGGGACACGGGTCCGTGCCCCGGTCCGGGAGGATCCCACATGTCATGGAGCGGCTGGGCCCGTGAGCCATGGCCGCTGAGCCTGCGCATCCGGACCCTGTGCTCCAAAAGAGAAAACAAAACAAAAGGAAAAGGCCCGAGTACCGCAAAAAAAAAAAAAAAAAGAAAGGGGGAAAATGATAAATTGAATGAGTGAAATAAAGCAATCTAAAGTTATTGGCACTGTGTTTGAACCTTAGAGAAAATGAAAAGTTTAATAGCTTTAGAGTTCTTCCAGGTCTATTAACAGAAAAATGGAAATAGCAAGTTTAGTAAAATGTATCTTATTTACATATTTTATACGAATAAGGCAATCAGAATTGATTTTCCTAAATTACGAATTTGTTTCTACTTTCAGGCCCTGTATCTTAGAATGAGGTTTATCTGATAGTCATGTACCTGCTGGTCTGTTCCCTGCCTCTCAACATGAGATACTATCAAAGCTTACATATAGTAGCATAATAATCCATACTCTACAACTTTTGAAAAGCTTTATTTTTAATAATAGATTGCATTTTCTCGGATCTGATAAAGGTTGGATAATCCATTGACATTGGTGAAATGCTAGTAATAAAATTCTATAGAATGTAACTCATTGCTATACCAAGTATATTATCTCTTCATGTCCCATTATCGCTTAAAAGCAATTATATCCAAAATAGGTATTATTACGTAAAGAATCTTTTATTATTCTTAAAAGGTAAAAGTATAATTAAGGACGTATAAGTGAGGTAAAGTGAAAGCCCTTTAGACATAAAGTCTAGAAGAGAATAAAAGATGAAGAAACATTTATTTTAAAAAGAACATCTTTGCAATTACAAAGAAATGTTTGATAATATATTATGGTAAATTAGAAAATACTGAACTATTTAATATTTGTAAGGTAAAAATAATTTTCAGCACTTTTAGACTACTAAGCTACACCAGAATAAAAGGTTGTATAGTAATATATTATTTTGATTATGAATTAAAGAGTTAAATAAAAGCCTAGCATGCATCTTAGGTCTCATTTATTTATTACTTTATCAAGCTTTTTATTTTTAATCCTTGATATATATCTGATGCCATGCTGGGTGCTGGAGTTAAAAAATGAATAAGACATGGTCCCTGTCCTCAAGAAACTCGATCTATTGCAGGGGTCAGCAAACTATGGCCTGTAGGCCAAATTCAGCCTGTCATATTTCTTTGTATGACTTGTGAACTAAGAATGGACTTTTCATTTTTAAGTGGCTGAAAGAAGTCAAAAGGAAAATAATACTTTGTGACACGAGAGCTATTTGAAATGTAAATTTCAATGTCCATAAATGAAGTTTTATTGGAACATAGCCACACTCATTCATTGACCTATTGCCTATGGCTACAACAGCAGAACTGAATAGTTGAATGAAAACCATATAGGCCTGCAAAGCCTAAAATCTTTACTATCTGTTCCTTTGCAGAAAAAGTTTGCCAACCTCTGGTCTGTTAGATGAACATAAGTCATCTTTACTCACATTTTTAACTGACTTTTAAATTTACTTTTACCTTTTGTTCTTCAGTAATTTGAAATGATGTTAGGTTTCATTTCTTAAATTTTTACTTTTAGAAGGAGCAAAGAAAGAACACTTTTCTTCCACAATAAAGTGTATTGCACCATTGTCTCAGTAGACAATATAGAATAATAAAAACAAAAGATCCCTCATTATAAATAATATATAAAATTTTGAACCTTCAAAATTGATCAAATTATTGGATTTGTTATACATTAAGTAAAGTCTCACTCCAAAAAAATTTTCAAGCATTTGTTCGTAGTAGTATCTCCTAAAAAGTGTCCTGATAAAAGTTGTCATTATGAAATAAACTAAAGGAGGAATCGCAAAAATTTCAGGAAACTATAAATTTGATGTAAAGGATGTTCATTTAAAAGGGTTGTTATGGTTCATTTTGGAAGTGAAGAGGCATCTGACAAAATGACTAATGCTGAAAGAGGTAAAATCTGGTACAA